TGTTGTTGGTGTTGGTGTTGGTGTTGGTGTTGGTGTTGGTGTTGGTGTTGGTGTTGGTGTTGGTGTTGGTGCTGGTGTTGGTGCTGGTGTTGGTGCTGGTGTTGGTGCTGTTGTTGGTGCTGTTGTTGGTGCTGTTGTTGGTGCTGTTGTTGGTGCTGTTGTTGGTGCTGTTGTTGGTGCTGTTGTTGGTGCTGTTGTTGGTGCTGTTGTTGGTGCTGTTGGTGGTGCTGTTGGTGCTGTTGGTGCTGTTGGTGCTGTTGGTGCTGTTGGTGCTGTTGGTGCTGTTGGTGCTGTTGGTGCTGTTGGTGCTGTTGGTGCTGTTGGTGCTGTTGGTGCTGTGAGTGCTGTGGGTGCTGTGGGTGCTGTGGGTGCTGTGGTTGCAGTGGTTGCTGTGGGTGCTGTGGTTGCTGTGGTTGCTGTGGTTGCTGTGTTTGCTGTGTTTGCTGTGTTTGCTGTGTTTGCTGTGTTTGCTGTGTTTGCTGTGTTTGCGGTGTTTGCTGTTTTGTTGTGCTTGTTGTGTTTGTCGTGTTTGTTGTGTTTGTTGTGTTTGTTGTGTTTGTTGTGTTTGTTGTGTTTGTTGTGTTTGTTGTGTTTGTTGTTTGTTGTGGTCGTCGTCGTCGTCGTCGTCGTCGTGGTCGTCGTCGTGGTCGTGGTCGTGGTCGTGGTCGTGGTCGTGGTCGTCGTGGTCGTCGTGGTCGTCGTTGTCGTCGTCGTCGTCGTTGTTGTTGTTGTCGTTTTTTGTTTTTTCTCCCCGAGCGAAGTAGACTTTCGGATTCCACAGTTTCCACATGCCTTCCCGAGAAACCGCATTGCCCGCTGCCTAGGAACTGCCCAAAGGGGCAGTGCATCACCTCCCCGGTTTTCTCTGCGGCTGGCATTCCGAACATGCAGCCAGCGGCCCAGAGCACAGGGTATCTTTAGCTTCCGAAGTCAAGCAACTGGGTGCCCGCAGTTGCCTGTTCCAGTCTCGGCTCAGCAAGCACAAGTTTAGGTGCAAACAAATGGGTGTTTCCAAAATATAGGGAAGACTTACATTTTATCATCCCGAAAAGGGATAATGGCTTTTTGTGGCACTTCTTCAGACGAGGGCATCGATCCTCACTTGTCCAGTCTCCTTTTAGTTTTGTTTGGGCAGGTTCACTTAAACGCCACCAGCAACATGCAGGTGCGCCGGAAAATCAACCAGCAATCATGTGGGTCTCCTTACACACCCACTCACTCGACAAACAACAGGCTGTCCTTCATTGCCACTGAGCGAGCTAGTAATGATTGGCTATGGGCTATACAGCCGATACTTGTGCGCTCGCCAGGAGGCAGGCTTTTGTATGCCTGCAGCTGTGGGACTCTGCCGGCCGCCGCTGTCAAGGTGCAAGTTGCAAACACCCGCAAAAGTGGCACCAAGAAAGGCCGGTGGCGTTTTTTCCATTGGCGACTCGCTTCCTTGAAGCTCCGCTCGAGACGCATGGGCGGCTCCGAGCCATGGCGGAAGAGGCGCTGGGGACGCTGTCCAAGGAGCTTTTGAGGCCGGGTGTCGAGATACGCTGATGTTTCGTGGAGTGTCAAAGGACACTTCGTTGGGAGCGCCTTTTTTGCAGAAAGTCATTGTGGGTGTAGACCGGTTTGAAGGGTAGTTTCATCCATCATGTCGCTTTTTGAAGAGGACGTCTGCAGTGTCGTTCCCTCACGGCTTTTTGCAAAGAAAATATAAAATAAAAGTTGCACAAATCGCATGGACAAGACACAAATCGCATGGACAAGACCAGTGCAGGAGCTTTTCAGAAAAGCAAGAACTACGGGAAGGGGCCGTCCTGCAAGTTTGTCTCAGAATGGGGAGTGTGCCAAAACCGAAAGATACCGAGAGTGTTCCTTTTGAATTCCCTTGCAGCAACCTTGAAGAAAAGGAACCCACCAAGCACAAGGTCAACCCGGGAGCCCAAAAACCCGTGATTCCTCTGCTGAATGGATTCAAGATGCGCACGCACACCTGATTCGGAAACATTGCGACACCATGCCCGCTCCAGAGCTCAGGCCTTGCCCGTCGTCGCAGCCCGCTTCCGGATCGCCTTTTCCGCATCGGCCGCACAGAGACCGTGTTTGTTTCGTCAGATCGTCATTGCGGTCAGCGCGGCCACGAAACCGGCCACGACACGGCCACGAACCGCCGCAAAACGGAGCGTCGCGGCGGCCGCAACAGAACCACCAGCCTCGCCAGCCCGGTATCCCTTCCCCCGCGTAGATTCAAAGCAAACCCAAACATCGTGCAAACATCAGGAATATTTGTGGGAAAACGACCTGGGCTCCACGCTGGAGAGGGTTGGGATGCTTTTTGCGGTCTTCCGTGAGCCAAGCCAATGTCCAGATGCCATTTGGCGGACCTCGACTCCTTCCTGGCCACCAACCGGCAGCTGCAGGCCTCGGATGCTTCGATAGGGGCATGAGAAATGGGATGGCCCCGAGAACAACCATCAACGGGTGGTTTCCTTTGAGGGGACGCCTGGGT